TGATTACGCCAGTGTAGCAGCATAACCCCCAAAGTGGTAATTCCCAGGATTGGAAGACACATGGGCATCGATTCTGTAAGAGAGAAAAGAATACGCTTGGAAGAATGATGGGAGCTCTTGACAGCAATGAATTGGCAGCATTTTGTGTCAGCATTTGGCAGGCCTTGGGAGAGACATTTCCTCCCTCGGAACTTTTTTGGAGGCATTCTTGGTGATGGATTGGCAGCATCTAGCAAAAGAGAAATGAAACGCCCATCTGCAATAAGCATGAACGTGATACCTTACATACAAGCTCAGGCAAAGTCAGAAGGACCTGGGACAAGTTTTGAGATCTTTGTTTCGATACATGTTTATCCGAATGTTTATCATTGTTCATCTAAATGATAGCTCCAGCACCTGCCTGAGACCCTCCATCCGCCCTCCAAGGTGCTGGCCCATGACACAATCTGTGTAGTCTCGACGCTCGACTCACTTCACCTGATCCCCGCTCGAAGCCGCCGAGTCTAAGTGAGGCTTGAAACGACTCGACGCCATGAGGTCCTAAACATGGTCAGATCCAACAAGGGAAAAAGGCGGTTCGGTGCTTGCTTGGGCAGGCGCATAAGATGACCTGAAACACATCAACTCAGAAGTCTGAGCTGTGACAGCTACAAACAAGTACAGTAGAGTAGGACATGCACGAACACCGTCGCACAGTAAGGCTGAGGAGGGCCCTCAAAAGGCAGAAATTGCTAAGGTGAACAAGGCTCTCTTTTTAACCTCCATAACTTCTGCAAACAAAGCTCGCCGGTAGGCTGTCATTTCCAGCAAATTCGGCACATTGTGCAAGTGTATTGCACGAAAAGTGTTTGCTTCCACTCCTACATGATCCAATTAAAAGATCTTGCCGTACTCAGATTTACGTTGGGGTTTGCTGTGACTCAAAGGAAAGCGTGTACTGTACTACATGGTTTGCTGTCCGATTCCTTTGGCATACAGGTGTGCCTGTTTTTTGTTTTCTTTTTTTCTGAAATTTCCTGCTGCATTCTTGATGGCTTCAAAAGTCAGTGCTTCGCCGTTTGCAGAAGCAAGGGCTACAAAGATATTAACAGCTGCAGCGTGCTGAATGGCCTACCCCTCCAACCGTAGTGTCAACTGCGATACATCGCTTCTTGTTTCTACGTTCGCTTACGTTGTTACTACTAGTAAGGCACTTGTTACTAGTAGCGATGCACTTGTTACTAGTAGCTTCTTGTTTCTACTAGTCCTCCAAACATTGGCCCTTCAAGAACAAACCTCTGCTTGGTTGGGGAAAGGCACAAAGCCGATGGCTACGAGAGCGCAATGCTAAACATATCGCTGCAGGGATTTGTCATCCTCACTTTGGCCGAGGCCTAGAGGCCTAGGTGGTCTCAACATCCAAAGCAACCGTTTTAGGTGCCTTTGGCATAGTAGCTTCTTGCTCCTAGTAGCGATGCCTTTGTTACTAGTAGCTTCTTGCTCCTATTATCATCCTTGTCTTCTCAATTTGAGTGTCTGGCAGAACAGCTGTTCCGAAGCATTAGTGCCTAAGGAACAGTTCGTGCAGCTTCTCAGGCACAGCTTGTCTACGGGAACTTTTGAGCAGAAGGTATTCCACACTGAATTGCTTCAGGGACTTTAGGAAACAAAGATTTGCTGAAAGTCTGCCGAGCATTGTGGCGCTTGGCCGCCACACCGTAAAGAAACGGCAGCATGCTGCAAATCTGGCACCTGGGACAATTCGACTGGGATGAAGTTTGAACAATTCCAGAAGTGATTCATCCAGCCAAGTTCAGGCCTTGATCAAATTCAACGCATTTGTACTTCTCAGGGCATGTGTCGTAGGCGCATCGCCATCATCCTTGGCGCGCATTCCAATCTTGCTTTGAATCTGGCATGAGAGCTGATTTTTTCCAGGACATGACAGCATCTCACAGGTCTCACCTTGGTGTCCAACCTTGCCCTTGGTCGGCCTCTTGCCAGATACTTTGGTCTTTGTGCCGCCCTGTTTTGACACTTCAGCACATGCTCATGTCAGACGCATCATGCTCAAGAAATGAATCGACAAAGGCTGGAGGAAATTTATCAGAAAACATCTGTAGTGTTGCTTAGAAGCCATTAGAAACAAGTGCCACGCTAGTAGAAACAAGTGCCTTACTACTAGTAACAAGAAGCTACTAGGGTTTCAACATTTCACTTTGCCAGGCGCCTTGGCGACACTTGCCGGAGGAGGACCAGGTGGTTTCCCATCTAGGGTGGCCAGCTCACGAGCCTCATTGCAGAACAACCTTCCTGCTTAAGTTTCCCAAAAATCTAGGAACCAAATGAATAGTGCGAGCGCTTCTTCAAGGAAGTGCGAGCTATCCTGCGTCCAAGGTAGGTACTAGCTACCTCTAAGCTACCAGCTAGCTACTACCTCCCTCAGCGGCCTACCCCCTATTTAAAAAAAGAGTGACAAGTCCAAGTCTTTCCGTCTGGCCGTCTGGCACGCTGGCCTGTGGCATGCCAAACTTGTTCATCTCCACACCATATGTCACCTGTCACGCTGGCGACCGGATCCACAAGGAATGTCCAAAATCAATTTTAAACCTGTAGATAAGGCTCGATTCGGCTTGATTATTCTAAGGTCACCCTGTAAGAAACAGTTGCGAATAGAAAACAAGAGTCAGGGGTCTGTCAACACCGTCCAAGATCAAACGGAAGCTTCAAACTCAACAAGTCTTACAAATGTTGTTCAATTTGTTCTTGAAAACAATAGAAATGGAACATAACAAGATTGAACACAATTGAATTAGGAGACGAGGGCAGCCGAAGGGAGAAACACAATTTACTATCCTATTTATTACGCAGTCTAGGCTGAGACACTGCCAAACTACCTTTCATTTAGGCCTTTCTCTTTGAACTTGTTAAGAGCCTCTACTCCAAGCTGCTCGGGCAACTCTTGAGGTCGCAAAACCCGGCTGCCTCCATTCCCACTTTGAGGTTGCCAATCTGTGCCTTGTGCAAGAAGACATCCCTGCAGGGAGGTGGCGAAGTCAACTGGTGCTGGATCTATTACACAGGCCAAGTGGTGCTTGTTCAGGCCTTCCAAACATTGCATAAGCCTCCGGGTTCTCTATGAAGCCAAAGCCTTGTTTTGCATTAAAGGACCTCAGGTGCATGCAGTACATTCAACAGAGAAGGCTTAACTTTATGAGTCTGATGTTGAAGTGTGTCATTGCAGTTCATTACGAGGCCGGGTCTTTCCTCGCACCTGAAGCTGGCTAAGCTCACTGCTTAATTCTACCACGAAAGCGACCTGCAGGTCTATAGCCTCACACATCACTGGCAATACATAGCTCACATCTCGAACATGTTCAGCCTGTCTAATCAGCAATAGAAAATATATATATATATATATAATATATATTTATTTAATCTACACAATTCAATTCTCAGATTTATCACACATGCATATGGCAAACTGCGACTCTCTCGCTCTGCTGACTCCTTCCGCACTTTTAGACAGCATCGGGGAGATCCAGTCTTGTCTCATGATCGGCCTCCCTCTTCCAACGGCAGGGTTAGGCTTTATGGTACAAATTATGGAAGGTTGTAACTTCCTTAGGACCAATTCCACCTTTCAGTGGTATTCTCAAGAACACGCTGTGCACTGGTAAAGGTAAAAGCAATTGTTTGCGTCAATTCACGATCCAACGTAACTAGGGTTTCCCTGGTCACGGACATTCGCTGTGTCCATTGTGGATTCAGATTGTAGGTGTCGATGTTGTCCAAAACGTCATCGATGAACATGAGAGCATTTCGAACACGCTCGCGGAAGACCACGTAGCGCTGCAGCTGATGCAAATGAGCAACGAGTTGCTCCATAGGGTGGAGGGCGGGCCAAAAGCAACACGCGCAAACTAAAAGAGGTCCCACCCACCTCTCCC